AAAGAAATCCATACATGAGTAATAGGGGATCCTCCCTAACAACAAAATCTGGAGACCATTTAAGTAATAGCATTTGACAGGCTTGATTTATGAGTGCCACTTAAAAACATATTGATTCTTTGCATGTTACTTACCCCACATTATTTAGCATCATCAAGATTAATCATTCAAGAAGCAGGCATCAACAACTCTTTCAACCACCTTAATACCTACAACCTTGTATGTGGGATTTCATTAGCAAGGGATAAACTAAAGCCACTGCAAAAAGTTAGTGGAATTATATCATGAGAAGGGAAGATAAGAAATAGAACCATATAATTGAGAGATTTGCAAGTCTCTCCTTCGTGAGCAATTGATCATACTACTTAAAAATCTTGCATGATTCTTAGCTATTACTATTCATTTTCAATTCCCTATCTTCTAGAAGTTGGACATTTCCTTAGAAATTAATCTAATCGAAACACTTAACATTTATACTACTCTAAGCTAAAACCATAGTTTATCCTCAAATGGCCAATAATAAGATAAAAACAATATAAAATCTCTCTCGATCAATAACAATATATAAATAATATGAAATATTATGTATTAATAAATAATTTAGGTTTAATGCCATAGCTTTATAAAAAGATGCATGGCATGAAAATCTAAAGGAAGAATTTTTTAGACTAGATATTTTACGTGAAATACTTTGAAAAGAAAAAAAATTGTAGGGCTTGACTCTTTTGAAATAATCTAATATGCACTTAAAGTTATAAAAGATAGCTCTTACTCATAACTGGAGAAGATGTGATTACAAAATAGGGAATATTTGTTTGGCCTCTTATAGTTTTAGTAGAGATTTTTAGAGTAATGGAGAGTGGTGGAAATAACGAAAGGTGTCAATTTATAAAAGATGTTTTGACCAGGGTTATAAGATGGTGGTTGGTCAAGAACAATAAGACAATAATGATCAAATAAAGCTGAAAAGACTATGATAATGGAATAATGATAAAATATTGTTGATGATTGGATGATAATAGTTAGATGATCTTGGACAATCATTGTAGGATGATGGCATTCTGGCATTACATATATTAATAATAATAAATTATACTATAACTTTCTCATGAAAATATCACCATAAAAATTATACACTTTTAATTATATAAGAATGATGCATCTAAATATTATAAGATAATTATATCCCATTTTGTTAGTAAGTTGTATGTGGAGATATATGATTGTATGTAGAAAATTATTATTATTTTTGTTATGTTAGTACTTCAATAGTGAATTGTAATATTTTTTTTAGTGAAATTATCAGAAAATTTTGGAAGGAGTATGATACGATTTTATAATGCAAAGATAAAAATTTGATATTTATCATAAGCCTTTACCAATAATTGGGTCAATGGAAAAAGAGTAGTCTTTGGTCATATATAATGTGTGTTACACCCTAGAGGTTCCTTAGGCCTCATAATAGCCCCCTACAATGGATCTTCATTTGTCTCACAATGATAACTAACATGTTAGAATTTCAAATATCTTATGTGTGTTACTTGTTACTATATTGCTTCCTCGTATGTTACTTACCCCCATTATTTGCAATCACCAAGATTGATATTCTATGATGTAGGTATAAACATCATCTTGAACCACCTTAATACCTATAATAACTTGTATGTGTGAATTCATTAGAAACATATAAAATCAGACCATGCTAAAATTTGGTTGAATTATAACATGAAATAGCATGATAAAAAGAGAAAACCCTACAATTGAGTGATTTGCATGTCCCTCCTTCATGAGCAATTGGTCATACTATTTAAATTTTTTTTTGTCCTCTTCTAACCCTTTACTAATTCATTCTAAATTACCTATCTTTTAAATGGTGGATATTCACTTATTTAGAAAATTATCTAAATCAAACTCTTAACATTTATACTAACTCTAAGCTAAAACCATATTCCTTCCCCAAATCACAAAGAGGAGTAGTTCGCCACCTTAATACCTACTTTTTTTTGTCCTCTTCTAACCCTTTACACATCACAAAAAGGAGTAGTTTGCCACACTTTCTAGTTACTTTATGCAGCCACCACCACCTCCTCCTCCTTCAGATGATTAGGGGCCATCTTTCTATTAGTTTATTTTCGTGATATTGTATTTTCCTTATTTTAGTCTTCTCCTCTGTTAAAGTGGTTTTTTTTCTTCTTTTTTCCCTCCTCCTTTTTGTGATGTCAAAAGGGGGAGTAGTTGTACTAGTTTGTGATGTTCTATTCTATTTTCATTATTCTAGTTTGATATATGTTTATGTTAGTTAGTTGAACTATTTAAACTGTGTTGGTTTCTTCACTTGCTTCTTTTAAAACCGTTTTGAAATGCTTTAATTATTTGTTGTGTTTGTCATCATAAAAAAGGGGGAGATTGTTGCGAATCTATTTTTTTAGGAAATATATATTTTGATGATAGCAAATACTTCTATTTCTCTATGACTGCTTTGTCTACTATTATTTCAGGTCGATAAGATCAAATTGCAATTTGAACCAGCTCAAAATTGGGTAGACTAGGTCTGAGTCAATTTGTAAACTTTTCTCTTTTTTGAGTATATTATAAACGATATGGTTCCTGATGCTAAGTAACCTTGCACACACACATTTGGGAAAATTTCTGACTGATTTTTAGAGTTTTCTATTTTTACTCACATCATCCGGGACGATCCAAAATTATCCTAGACGAATAGTTAAAAGTAAAACCCTAATTAGGGCATCCTAGTTAAGGTAGCTGTCATTAAGTACATCGTCCCAGACGATGTTAACATTATCCTGGATGATATGCTCAAATCAGAAAGAATCAGCTGCTAGTTTTATTTAGGCAGGTTATATTTTTGGGCATCGTCTAGGACGTCATCCTGGACGATGAAGCACAATTATGCCGAAATTAATCTGGTAATTAAGGAAAGCTATTAAGATTTAATTTGCCGACATTATCATCCTAGATGATCTTAGGATTATACGGGACGATCATATAATCAAACCTTAGATTCCTCCTATACTACTATTGCAATGTTCTAGACGATATATGATGTTTTGTGCTAATCGTCTAGGACGATCGTGAGATCGGCCTAGACGATCAAGCTATTTTTCCTTCATCCAGACATCCATACAGGGCAATGTTCCAGATGTAATTAGTTGAATTGAACTAATCATACAGGACGATATACTATCATTCTAGATGATATGAATAAATTTCCATCTGATCATCCCGGATCGTCCTGGCTAATTGAGCTGATTTTATACTGATAATACAGGATGATCAACTGATCATCCTGGACGATAAAGTCAATTTTTGGCAATTAAGAGCTATTGCAAAGCTCTTCTATAAAGACCACTTGTTTACACAAGGAGAGCATCTTTTGCTGCTGTCTTGACCTTAGAAAGCATAGAGGAGAAGGGGAGAGAGAGAGGATCTTGTGAGGGGGAGTTTGCGAGAGGTTTCATAAAGGTTGATCCAAGCAAGGATCCAAGTCATCTTCTTCGATCTTTGTCCCTTATCCTTGGGGGTTCAAGGGAGGTCTACTTCAGCAATATATCAAGATTCTTTGCCTGTTTTAGAAGGAAGCAAATGGAGTCAGGTTCTATGCCTCACCGGTGTTGGTGGAAATGAGATTTTGTAAAGGCTTATCCACCTTATTGTGGGAGAAAAAGGAGAATCATTGAGTTTAGTGCAATACCTGGAGGGCACCTACTGGGAGTGGACGTAGCTCGAGTTGACGAAACCATTATAAATCTCTGTGTTCTTTACTATTATTTTTTTCGCATTTAATTTTTGCACTTTGATTTTTGTTATGGAGAACTTTGGTTTGTGTTTTGAGTTTAATTGAAAGGATTTTTTTAAATATCAATTCATCTCTCCCCCCGCCCCCCCTTAGTTAGCCTTGGGCTCGTTCATAAGGGCTTAACATCCCTAACGAATTTTCATCCATAGCACTTCTCTTTGAACTTTGTCTTATGCTTTCTCTAAATCAACACCAAAGGCATTCATGGAGATTAAAAGGAATGAATAGTAAACATTTTATCCCATTATAGAAAAATGAGTATGGAGATTAAAAAAAAAAAACTAAAGAGATGTGTGGAGATCACCTTTGGCTAAGGTGGGTGGGTAAAAATCAGCTACGTTGATCGGTCGGTGAGGCTACGATAGAAGGTCATGACTTCTCTGGACAAATCGAACGAGCCATGCAACCATGTTAGGGTGAATTTGGGTGAGTGTGGGTGTTCCTTTAACAAACCAAAAAAACCAAGCGAAGAAATGATGAGAAAGAGGGGGGGGATATATATATATATATATATATATATTCCTTTAGTAATAGAACCATTTCTTAGAACATAGAACCATCCATGAATTTTTTCAATTTAAATCTACATTAAGTGATACAGTAGTGACTAGTTAATTTTTTTATAGTGTAAAGTTTCCTTATTTACATACAAAATATCCATATGCTTCAAGCAACGGAGTTAGCAATGACAGATTTTTTTCGTTAAATCTTTTTTCCTTGAAATCCTTGATTCCTTTTAAAATAATAGTTGAGCTAATATTTATTAATATTTCCTTACAAAGATGTGTTTACCTATTTCCTCACAGAAGACTTATTCTAAAAAAAAATTCAAGGCATAGAATTTATGAGTATATATAATTTTGGGAGAATTTTCTCTCATTCCTTTCATATAAACATTATTTTTTTTCATTTCATGTAGTTGTTTTTTATGTAATCTACTCCAAATTGTTATTTATGTTAAAAAAGAAGCAGATTCTACTTGCTAACATGATCACTAAAAGACTCAATTGTGAGCTAACTTTATTAATATCTTTTCTTCAAATCAAATATAAAAAGGTAAGAACATATTTAAATATAAAATCTACTCAATATTACATAATAAATTTCCCAATAAATACTAAAAATAGACTTATAATCCAAAAATATTCATATTACATGCTTACCAAATATTAAGATATTCAATTTATGAAAGTGATGGTGTAAACCATATTGATGGAGGCCAATTAGTCTGTGAATAAGGGTGAAGGATATACTGAATGCGATCATTATAAAGATCAAAAAGTCCAACATCACATTCAACATCACCTGGAAACATGTTGCTCAAATGATCGGCAAAATATATGCAATTTGGTTTAATTCCAGTAGCAACTGTGTGATGCAAGGAAAATGTCTGATTACAACCCACAAAAATGGAGTATTCCCCCAACTCATTGATAGGGATCCATTGAGAGTATGAAGAAGTGGAAGAAGAAGAAGTAGAAGAAATAACAGCTGGCACAAACTTGAAAATAGAGATACTCATCGTCTTTGCGTAACGGTGACTATCAAGAGTAATATCAATCACCCTCTCTATTCTTAGAAGAGTTCCTGACATAAAGGCAATATAGTATATAAAATCAAGGTTTCCGGTGTGATAGTATGGGTTAGGCATATTCGGGCAGATCAATTCAACATTTTGTCCATTGAGGTCAAATGAAAGCACCATAGAAAAATTTGTGATTGCATAAAATCTTTGATTATTTTCATGATAGCAAGCATCTTCAAATTGCTCCTCTTCCTCCGTGTTATAAGGAGATAATTGTGGCCCGAGAACCCAAGTCAGATCTTCTGACCTTGCCAAAGCAAGCGCTTTTGTAATGCCAAATATAACTACAACAGTTCTAGAGGAGTCATTAGAGGAGAAAATGATCTTATGAAAAAACATATCACGTAAGTCATAAGGTGTAAAGTCTAAGAAAATTTCATTGTAATAAATCCTGATGGAGCCGTCAGGGGCATATTGTGGCTCGATCAAGGTGAAAAGTGATGGGAGCGATATTTCAGCCTTCGTTATAGGGTTGAAGAGTCGAGGTTGTAGATCTATTTTGTCAAGGGTCACAAGCCATCCATCCTTGGAGCCAAAACAACGGCGGCCAAAGGTGTTGCTACCGATGGAGGAGAAACGATGATGGAAGCTGACGATAGCTTCTTCTCTTTCTATGGTTAGTTCGCAGAAGGTGAGTGTGCCGGAGGCCTCTCCAACATCATTTGAAAGGAGCAACCATGTTGAGGGACGACATTGAAATCCAAGGAGTGCATAGTTGGCAAGAGTGAAATTCCATGAGGTGCAAACAATAGATAATCGGACTAAGTCTACAATGGACAAGTGTGATGAGATGCAACGAAGGAGATCTATGGGGAGATCATACCATGCCATAATATTAATGTACTTGAGGTCGCCAATGTAGGAAAGAGCTGCAGTGCCTTCCAACACTACCACGATCAGACAAAAATTAATAAGAATTGAAATCAAATATGCAATCTTTGTTAGAGATGTAAATATGTGGAATAGAATATGTATTTGTGGTAAATATTCAAGTGCATTAATTTTCCTTCTCATTTGCAGATAATGAAATTGGCCAACTAGCATTGTCCATAAATAGAATAGGGTGCAAAATTCATGTCCTAAAAATTAAATTTATTATTTAATATTTATTTTTAAATTTAAATTTAACTTTTATTGTATGTAGTTTTTTAGGAGATAGAACGAGACTATTTGTGTCAAAATTTGGCATTATTTTAAGAGGTCTCAAAACGATTATTCTTAGATATAAAAATGAGTGGAAGATGAGAAAACACATATTATATATATGTTACCTCAGACAAAGGTATTTATTTACAATAGTTATATTATTTCATTTTATAAAATGAATTTGATGTCTTTCATTAGGTTGGAAAAAGTTTATTTTTAATAATATTATAAATTAATAATTTTTTTGATCAATTTAGTTCATATAATAAAAGTATATATCAATTACATGAAATTTCTTATTTTAGTAAAATGGGATCCATTCACTCATTTTGATTAAAAGAGATCCCACTGCATATCATTGGGTAATAGATGGAAGGAATAATGACATAAAAATTAGGGAAAGTAGGTCATCATCACCAATTAATTGATAGACAAAATACAAAAGTAAAATAAAGCATGTATGGTGCATGTACATTTCCTTTGTTAGAAAGTAATCAAAAAGATTGGAAAAGAAATTCCATTTTTCTTTTCTACCCTTCTCCTTCCTCCCTCCTCACCATTAGAGTTTAAACAAAGCTTCTTCTCTTTTAGAATCTCTCTTATTCTTAGAGACGATGATAGTGGAAGCGTTCATGATTGATTTCTTGGAAGCTTTACTGTAATCCTAAGAGGATCAAGAACATTAATGGCATCCATGGAGAACCATTATAGTTGAAAAAATATATTAAAAAATAGTCATATTCATTATACTTGTAAATGCATTACATGTATATATTGTATAATAATTAAATATCATTATGCTTATGGTTCTTTATGATTTCAAAATAGAAATATTTGGATCAAATTCTCTTCATCAATCAGATATTTAAATAAATGTGCAAAAGCATGACCTTTTGAGAGCCTTCAAAACTATTTGAATTCTTTTTGTTCTTTAATTTGAATACTTTTCAACAATATGTGATCTATTTTATATGTTTATATTATGCATTTGTTTGAGGGTTTGATTATTTAAAATGCATTCTAAAATAAAATGGATTTGGGCTTACTGCTTTATTATTTCATCCATCACAAAGATTGTCAAAAAATTAGACTCTTAACCACAACTTTCGTATGCCGTATATGGGATCGTTCAATCTCAGGTTGATGATTCTCCTTAGCAACACAAACCATAGTATTTAAAATGGACTGATAATTCAAAAATATTTAGATTACACGCTTAACAAAGATTAAGATATACAATTTATGAAAGTGATGGTTTAAACCAAATTGAAGGGGGCCAGATTGTGAATCCGAGTTAAGAAAATATTGAAATTGTTCACTATGAAGATCAAAAAGCCTTGCATCTCGATCAATGTACTTTGATAACATGTCATTCAAATGATCTGCAAAGTATATACGATTTGGTCTAATACCGAGAGAAAGAGTGTGATGCAAGGAAAAAGTTTGATTTATACCCACAAACAAGGAGAAACCCCTTAGATCCTTAACAAGGATTGAATGAGAGGAAGAATAAGAATTGACAACAATCGACACAAATTTGGAAACAAATATACCCACTATCTTTTCTTTCCAACTATTATCTATCTTCCTTTCAGTATTATCGATCACCCTCTCTAGTTTTAGAAGTGCTCCTAACAAAAAAGCTATATAGTACATGTAATCAAAGTTTTTGGAGTGCAAGCATGGGTTTTACTTTGCCGGGCAGATCAATTCAACATTTTTTCTATTGAGGTCAAGAGCCAATACCATCGAAAAATGTGTGATTTTGTAAAATTTTTTATCTTCTTGATGATTTAAACATCCTCAAATTGCTCCACGTGCATCATGGTGTAAAGAGCCAACTACGGGCAAAGAACCCATGTTTGATCTCCTGGCTTTGCCAAAGACAGAGATTCTGTACGTCCATATATAACAATAACAGTTCCTAATAAGTCATTAGAAGAGATAATGAACTTCTAAAAATATATATTACGTAAGCATCCTCATCTGTGATAAAGTATGAGTAAATTTCATCACACAAAAAAATTGGAATTGTTGGGGCAAAATTGGGGCTTTATCATATGCCCTTGATCTTTAGGGATGGTGAAAATAGATGGGAAGGGAGTGATATTTCAGCCTTTGTGAGAGGGTTAAAGAGGCGAGGCTACAGAACTTCTTGGAACCAAAGCAGCGATGACTGGTGTTGTAACTACTAAGGGAGGAGAAGCGATGATGGAAACTGACACTGACCTCTTCTTCTTTGATTGTAAAGTCATGGAAGATGAGTGTGTTGGAGGCCTCTCCAGCTTCACTGGAAAGAAGTAGCCATGGCGAGGGATGCCATTGAATTCCATTGGGTACATCGTTGGAAAGAACATAATTCCATGAGGTGAAGACAATGGAGAATCGTAGCTAGTCTACAATGGGCAATTGTGATGCGATGCAATGGAGGAGATCTGTTGGGAGATCAGACCATGAAAAAATATTATTGTATATGTGGTGGCAAATAGATGAGGAAAGGAGCTTGAATGCCTTATGCAATCTTTGTTAGATATATATAACATAGCTCCCAAGTGGACCTAACAAAAAATAGCGGGAATAAAATAAGCATTTGTTGCTTTTTTTTTGGGAATATTTTGTGGTTCATATTCAAATGCTTCAATTTTTCTTCCTATTTGTGGCTAAAAAAAAGTTCAACAGGCCATTATCCATAAATAGAATAGGGCATATAACATAATTATTTCTTTAAATAACAAATCTTAGATTTAAAATTTTTAAAATAAGCTCTTTGAGCCAATCACTTTGCTAGATTTAATTTTTGATTAAGCATTTTGAAAAAACTCAAGTATAAAATTTTAAATTTATTAAATTAAAAAATCTTTATTTTTATTTATATAAGAAAAATAAATGTCATTGTATACGGCTTATTGAAAGATCAAATAAGACTTTATGTCAAAATTTGATGTCATTTGAAGAGTTCTTTGAAAAATTTGGAGTTCTTTGAAATATATATATATATATATATA